GGAAGAGAAAGAAGAGAAGGCTTGGGAGCCTGTCCTGGCTCTTCTAATTATTCCCCATGACCTTGGAATGTTCCACTACCTTTGGCTAACTCCAGGTTCCTTGTTTGTGAAGTGAGGGGGAACGAATGGCTGGGAGAATGAAAAGAGACAGAGGTTGTGAAATGCACTGTATTGGACTGTGCTCTTGACCTTTTTTAGGGCAAGAAAACACAGAAAAGATGCTGTTTGTACAGGAGCAGAGTGGAGGCTGGGGGTAACTGGTCGTGGGGCTCAGCACCTTCCCCCACAACAAATTGTATGGTGTGGGAGAGCTTTCACTGCACCTCAGATATGTCCTTTCATTTAAGTAGCAGTGTTCTTTCTTCACACTGTAGAGAAAGGTATGGTTACACGTAGAGAAACTGAACCTCAGGGAATGTAATGACATACATGCCAGGGTCAAAGGCTCTACCATGTGCTTCCTCTTCTGACTCTGACCCCACAGCGTTTATTCCCATTAAAAAAATATATATTTTATTGATTTTTTACAGTTCATTTAATCTTTTCTTGTCTTTTTGTTATGTCCATTTCACAAAGTGGGCAAATGTGGCCAGGGGAGGAGTGTAAATGACCCTTCACAAGTCAATGGTAGGAGAGTATAAAATATAATAATAATAATAATAATAATAAAATAACAAATGGCGTACAATTAAAGAGGCTTCAGATGCTATGTGCTTGGCATAGCTCATAATGTTTTACATAATTTAACTCCTTTCATTCTCACAAACATCCCGTAAGGTAGGTCAATTGTTTTTCCTAATTATAGTTAAGAAAACCAAAACACAAAAAGGTTAAGTGACTTAACCTTTGACAATGAATAAGTGGAAGAGAGTTGGCATTAGAACCTGGACAGTAAAGCCCCCGAGAGAGGAAGAAAACAGCTCTTTGTGACAGGCTTATTAACATCTGTCACCAAATGACAAATAAATGACACTTGTCCTCCTCGCCTCGCACCTGTTCCTTTGGCTAGTTGTTCATGGCACTCTTGCCTGCTGAATCCAAATGGAGACTCAGAATCCTTCTTAACATAGTGCTCCACCATGTTAAACCTCAAGTAACTAATCCATCAGGATGAGAGATGGAAGCCCATTTGTCATCTCTAGGGCTCATTTTATAGGCTCTAATTAATTCACAAAGTTGTTTTAAAAATAAATGTGTGTGTGTATACATATGCTTGACTTTATGAAATGAATGAAATTGAACTTGATTCAATTTGCATTTACTGAACATCTGCTATATGGATCAGGAAGGCACTCTTGTTATGCACTGAGGCTTAAAACAAAGGATAAACAAAGTTATGTCTTAAAGAGGACACTATTCTACATAAATTTTGATGTAAATCCTTTTGAAAAGTTAAGAATCTTCTTGTAGCCGAAACCGGTTTGGCTCAGTGGATAGAGCGTCGGCCTGCGGACTGAAAGGTCCCGGGTTCGATTCCAGTCAAGGGCATGTACCTTGGTGTGAGGCACTTCTCCAGTGGGGAGTGTGCAGGAGGCAGCTGGTCGATGTTTCTCTCTCATCGATGTTTCTCTCTCATCGATGTTTCTGACTCTCTATCTCTCTCCTTTCCCCTCTGTAAAAACTCAATAAAATATATTAAAAAAAAGAATCTTCTTGTAATTTTAGCAAGGCGAGTTTTCATAGATCAAGACATTCTGCCATGTGCCTTTAAAGGCATTTTAGCATTCCCCTATAGTGTTTTAGGTGCCTCTCTCATTTTTTATTTTAGCAAGGCATTTATTTTCATTTTTCTTTCTTTCTTTAAGTTGAATTTATTGGGGTGACATTGGTTTGCAAAGGGACCCTTGAGTCCACAGGCCAATGCTCTATCCACTGAGACAAACGGGGGCAACATTTTACAAAAACTATTTGCAACATTCTGGGGAGATCAGTCATATATGATTATTGATTATTCAGTGGCAATTGATGCTGCATTTATATTCAAGTTGCTCATCTAATTTTGTCTTTCCCCATAAACCATGGGGAAAACAACCCCTGTAAAGAAGATGGGGGGAGGGGCAGTAGTTAGTCTGACACTACCCTGATTTGTCCAGTGCAGTTGGAATCTCTGAAATTTACCTGCCTATAGGTAGTTGGGTGGTGGGCACAGATTCCTCCCACACTCTAGTTCATTTATTTTTTTTATTTTTATTTTTTTTAAAATATATTTGATTATTTTTACAGAGAGGAAGGGAGAGGGATAGAGAGTTAGAAACATCGATGAGAGAGAAACATCAATCAGCTGCCTC